ACACGCACACACACTCCCACACTGTCTCCCACGCGCACACACACTCCTGCACTGTCCCCTACATGCACACACACTCCCACACTGTCCCCTACATGCACACACACTCCTGCACTGTCCCCTACACGCACACACACTCCCACACTGTCCCCTACATGCACACACACTCCTGCACTGTCCCCTACATGCACACACACTCCCACACTGTCCCTTACAAGCTCACACACTCCCACACTGTCCCCTACATGCACACACACTCCCGCACTGTCCCCTACACGCTCACACACTCCCGCACTGTCCCTTACATGCTCACACATTCCCACACTGTCCCCTACACGCACACACACTCCCACACTGTCCCCTACATGCACACACACTCCCACACTGTTCCCTACATGCACACACACTCCCACACTGTCCCCAACACGCACACACACTCCCACACTGTCCCCTACATGCACGCACACTCCCACACTGTCCCTTACACGCACACACACTCCCACACTGTCCCCTACATGCACTCCCTTGCCCACAAGAGGTTCGGACTGAGGGACAGCAGTTTCGACTACGGTGTCTATGTCTGTGCCGCTGCTTCCGTGTGAATCTCCTGCTGCAGCAGTTTTATTTTTATTAGATTGTCCACACATCACCCCCACCCCTCCAATGCCACTCTGAATGTGAATGTGCCTTCCTCCTGCTGTCTGTTACATTCTGACTGTCTCTGATAAGCCATTCCCCACTCAATGCTGTGCTCTGCCATCAGTTTTCTCTGAATCAAAGCACCTTATTCAGTGCCGTCTGAGAGTTGTTTAATGAGTAAATGATGCTTATTCTGTCGGACTGGCCTGGACCCTGCCGATTTCAGAATGTGGCAGTAAATTCTCTCTTTTTGGCTCTTGCAGGTGGACAAAGACTGATGGAGGGGCGTCAAAGTGAGTACACTGTCCTGTACCTGGGGTGTGTTACAGGGAGGGGCTGGGTGTCTGTGGTGGTGAGGCGTTGGAGATTCCTGTGGCTACATTCCCAACACAAACAAACCGATCCCTGAAACTGCACTTTCACTCCCAGATGGCTACTCCTTGTGCCCTCATTAATGCCTCATTGTGGAGTCTTGCTGAGGCTCCAGGAGGCGGAGAGCGTGAGAGGTGCTGAGGGCATGTTTGTTCCAGAGGAACAGGGTGCACTGAACAGAAACTTCCGGAATTTTTTAGGAAGGTGTTTACCCAGCTCCTGTCTCAGTCAGTGGCCACCTCAGTATGAACATGTGTTCACGCTGAGTGACCAGGAACTCCATTATCAGAGGAGGGTACAGTGGGACAATCATATTGATCAATAATCTGGGCCAATTGCCTGGAGAGACAGGTTCGAATCCCACCACAGCAGCTGGTGGGATGTAAATACAATTAGTAAATCTGCAATTGAAGTCTAATTTCAGGATTATCACCTTCAGCATCCACTCCCTCCACCACCGAAGCTCAGTAGCAGCAGTGTGTACTATCTACAAGATACACTGCAGAAATTCACCAAAGATCCTCAGACAGCACCTTCCAAACCCACGACCACTTCCATCTAGAAGGACAAGGGCAGCAGATACATGGGAACACCACCCCCTGCAAGTTCCCCTCCAAACCATTCACCATCCTGACTTGGAAATATATCGCCGTTCCTTCACTGTCGCTGGGTCAAAATCCTGGAATTCCCTCCCTAAGGGACATTGTGGGTCAACCCACAGCACATGGACTGCAGTGGTTCATGATGTGGAGGTGCCGGAGTCAGACTGGGGTGATCAAGGTCAGAAATCACACGACTTCAGGTTATAGTCCAACAGGTTTGTTTGAAAACACAAGCTTTCAGAGCCTCGCTCTTTCTTCAAGTGTTAGTGAGAGAGGTAGTATCAGGCACAGAATTTATTAGTAAAAGATCACAGGGTCACACAACTGATGAGGATGTATTAAACAAACCTAAGATGCTGTTAAATCTTTAATCAGTCAGAAGGTTTTAATTGATTAATATATACATGTAAATCCCTGAATTCCTTTGAAGTCACTGCCCTAAGAGAGAACTAAAGGTTTTATTAGTGGAAAGAAGAGGTGACATTTTAGGTGTGAGGCCTTGAGATAACAAGGTGCAGGGCTGGAGGAACACAGCAGGCCCAGCAGCATCAGAGGAGCAGAAAGGCTGACGTTTCGGGTCTGGACCCTTCTTCAGAAATGGGGGAGGGGAAGGGGGTTCTGAAATAAATAGGGAGAGAGTGGGAGGCGGATAGAAGATGGATAGAGGAGAAGATAGGTGGAGAGGAGACAGACAGGTCAAAGAGGCGGGGATGGAGCCAGTAAAGGTGAGTGTAGGTGGGGAATTAGGGAGGAGATAGGTCAGTCCAGGGAGGACGGACAGGTCAAGGGGGTGGGATGAGGTTAGTAGGTAGGAGATGGGGGTGGGG